TTATATAATCTCAGTTTTAACTGAAAGAAATTGGCAGCCGATGATATCCCGTTGGGGGAATGTGTGATTTAATGGATGTTCCACCAGTCAATTCGCTTTTATTTTTAGTTGGTGTATATCCGGTTTAGTTACAAAAACCAAGTGGTTTTTGTAAAAATTAGGTTGTTTTAATCCAGGTCAATATGCTGCTTATTTAAAAGATATCATGCATTACATTAGAAATTTTCACACTGTTATGTTGTGTAATTTTAGGACTCAATAGTATTATAAAACACTGTGTTTGTGAGAATTGGGTTTAATTGGGGCACACATCGCCCGTCATCTTCGATGTTTGTTGAAGCAAGTCGTAACATGGTAACCACAGGGGAACCTGTGGTTAATAGAGTGTGTCAATTGGAATATATTCGTTTAGCGGCACCCACGTGTCAAATATTTTGACTGTTTATGTTGTTGCATTGGGTGTTTTTATATTTATTTGGGTGGTTGTTTCTATTTTATTAAAAATGGTCATCAGAAAAAGGGGACTAAAAAAGGCGTTTAGTCGAGGAAGTTTTGAGTTACTAGAGTATGGTTTTTTGTTTTTAGCTAGTTTTTTTGTTATAATTTTGGTAGTTTTAAATGTAATTGTTTTGCGGGATATGGTAGGCGATGTTGGCAGTAAAAACTTAAATAGTATAAATGTAACCGGCCACCAGTGGTATTGATCATATAGTGGAAATAAAGAACAGTTGATGACCAGGTTTGATTCATACATTGGTGATTTGGTAAAAGTTGTTGATCATGAGTTGAGTCTTCTTGTTAAAAAATTTTATATTTTAAATATAACATCGGCTGATGTTCTTCATTCATTTAGTGTGCCGTCTGCGGATTTGAAGGTAGATGCCGTACCAGGGCGTATAAAAAGAGTTTGCTTAAGTTGTGATAGTGTTGGGCTGTTTATTGGCTATTGTAGTGAATTTTGTGGGTCAGGTCACTCCTACATGCCAATTGTTTTAAGTGTTGTGGAATAATAGGCTAATATAAAGCTGTTGACTTGTGGAGTCATTGATATAGTGTTTATTTATTCCAAAAAGAAATAAGTTAAGCAAACTGTGTGGCTCATGATCACAAAATATATTTTTATTTTCTTTATTTGAATTTTAGGCGGGGTTTATAATGATAACTGCTTTTCCAATAATTTGTTCTCTTGGTGTGTCAAGAATATTAGCTTTGAGTGTAGTTTTTTTTAGTGTAAAACTTTGAGTGTTTTTAAAGATTTTTCTAATTTTTTGTATTTCTATTATTGTTGTTGCGTATATAGAATCTCCGGTTTGGTGTTGTTTTGATGAAACTATGACTAGGTCGTGATACAAGACCTTTGTTTTGGGTGAGTTTTTGTTATTTTTAAGGCTAATGATTCCAATTGTTTATATAAAAGATGATTTGGGCGAGGATGCAATATCAGACCCATACGGTATACCACTATTGGGAGTGTTTGTTTTGTTATTGTCGTCTTTTTGTGTTTCAAATTTTGAAACACACATAGAGGCACATGAAAATAGTTTTTTTCAAAATCTTGTGCTAGAAAAATCTGGTGTTTTAGGTAAATCATGGGTGTGATTATTGTTGACAATTTTAAATGGCTTTGGGTTTATTATTTTACAGGTTGTTGAATACAAAAATTGTCCTGCGTGTGTTGTTTATTCTTCGTGATATGGTGCGTGTTTAATTTTAATAACTTTTCATGGTTTTCATGTTTTTGTTGGTTTATTATTTTTATCTGCTGTATTTTTTCGTATTTACTTAAGAACCACATTAATAAAAATAGAATCTTATGCTCTTAAAATACGTTTTGTTTATTTTGTGTGTTTTTATTGACACTTTGTGGATTTTATATGATTTATTGTTTATTTTTTGGTTTATTTTAATCCTTTAGTCATAAGCTCTAGAGCATTATTTTGCAAAAATAAAGGTGGTTTAAGAAATCATGGCTATTTGGTAAAATAACTTAAGTTAAAGTGCAATATTCTTACTATTGTTATGGTTGGTTGTGATCTTTTATCAAAATATGTTCTCATGAGTAATTGGTGTTTACTTTCTTGTATTATGTGTGTTTAGGTGTATATTGAATCCTGTTGTATGTTGCTTGTTTTTGTTATTAAAATCTATTATCATGTCTATGTTAATGTATTTTGTTTGTAACAGAAGGTGATTCTCACTCCTATTCTCATTAGTGTATGTTGGTGGCGTTTATATAATTTTAATGTTTGTTTCTGTTCATTTGCAAAAAGATCAAATGATTGGTGGGGTAGATACACCAATAGTGCTCTTATTGTTTTTTGTTCCTTTTTTGTTTATTGGGCAGGTAAATCCTATTTTGGGGGTAAAAAACCACGAGTTAAAAAGTAATATTATTTTAAGATTAGCAGACTATGGTGTATATTTTTTATTTTGTGTGTTGTTAGTGTTTATTTTTTTTTGTATTAGTTTTGTTGGTAGAAAAAAGGATAGTTTTGTTCGTTAGAGAATTTGAAAATTGGTTTAGTATATATATTAAGTACACAAATTTGTAAAATTTGTAGGGAAAATTCTTCAACCAAAGGTTTGTGGTTAACCTTTCATTACCCCCCCCCC